AGAGATCGGTTGATCAAAAACAGTTGCCAAGTGAGTTTCTTAGACTTATAGGGCTAAAAAAAATAAAAACAAAAATTCACCTTCGATTTGGAAGCAGGAGAAATTCACTGAACTTGAATGATTTTCTCATCTACAACGTTTCCGAGGACCTGACCATTTAGCCAACAACTCCACAATCTCTGAGCAGAGAAATAACAATCTCTTTTACAACAGTTTCGTCTTCCACTACACCTGTTGACACAACCAGCGAATCACATAAAAGAAAGAGAGAATCAGTTAGAAGAGCCCTTTTTATACCATCTGGAAAAAAAAAAAAAAAAAAAGGTTATGCACTATATATCAATATTTGAATTGCATCCCAAATTCAATTCAATCTAATCCAAATTTATCTTTTCGATGGCTTGAATATTTTTGACACAGTGAAGGGGAAGAAATATTTGAAACAATATACAGGATCAGGACCAGGTTTCAATCAAATTGTTGAAAAGAAAATCGTTATGAACCAGCTCAAAAACAGACCTTGCTCCATACAAAAAACAACTAGATAACTATGGTTTATTATTGGTTGTTCCATGCTATGAATCTATTCATCTCAAAATTTTATTACAGGTGTATTAACATCTGTAGCTTTGAACATGTGTATTAACCCTTTAGCTTCCTTTTTTTTATTACAGGTGTATTAACCCTTTAGCTTCCTTTTTTTTTTTTTTTTTTAAAATTTTTTTCTCTAATGATTAAAACTCTTTTATCTGCGGTGACTGCTTTAAGCAAAAAACTTTTGCTCATGTGTTAAAGGATCTTGGCATGTGTTATCTAAACACACAAGTATTGGTTCACATTTTTTCGTGTGTAAATAGTTGATCCTGACATGAATTCCCCATTCTTTTTGTGTATATAAACAATGTGCTCTTTTGCAATATTTTTTGTTCAAGTAGTTATACCAATGAAGAACTAGGATGACTGTAAATGGGGAATACTAGGATAACTATTTTTTTATATTAACGATAAGGCATTTGATAATGTCTTTTCTGTAAATTATATAAACTTTGGCAGCTTCGTAAAAATATCTGCTCCATTTTATGTGTAGTATTTATAACACTCTTTGCATATTTATATGTTAAAAACATAATCTATAGTTATATTTTCACTCATGCAACAACATGTGGGTAAAATTTACTAGTATTTTACTATAAATCTATGAGATAGATATTTAAGCTGAGCCACACAATGAATCATATATGACAAGGAATATTAAATCGTGTTACTACTTAGTTTCCTCTCATGATTTTGTACGATCAACTAGTAAGTATAACGGCGACTCCTAATCTAAGTTAAATATAGATTTAATGAATTGACCAGTGTCTTGTTGGCGCTCCAACAAGGGCACCAAATTACAAGGTTGTCTGAATATCACCTCCTTCCCATTCACCCAAAAGACAAAAAAATAGTAACTAAAACTAGACACTTCCATCGTTTACCAGTTCAATGGCAACCCTAATTAGCAAATGACGTGCTTTACAAGTTAATGTGATCAAAACAGGTCCATGATTCTTGACCCTATTAATTAACATCCATCTGCATACCCCAAAAAAATATTAATTAATAGTTTCCTTTTTCTCTGAGTGTCAGCTTTTGACATATGGGACTTTAATAGCTCTTTCATGGAGGACAGAAGTCCATTGAATAGGTAACTATGGTCTCTTGATTCCCGCCAGGCCTGCCAGGGAGGAGAGCTTTGTTAAGCAGAAGTCTCGTGTCCAATGGATGGCTAATGGCAATAGGAACACCGTTTTTTTCTACAATTCTATCAAGAAGCAGGCTCACCAAAATCGTATTGCCTCTATTTGTAAAAGTGATGGGTCTATTACTATGTTGAAAGGGAGATCAAAGATGAAGCTGTGGGGTTTTTTCAAAGTCTTATTGGCAATGAATTTGCTAGTTCGACTTCTGAAGTCAATCTTGCTACTTGTAACCCTATCACAAGTCCTATTTCTTCTGATATGGCTGCTGCTATGGTAAGAGAGGTTTTTGGTGAAGAAATTCGTAAGGTTTGTTTCAGTTGGAAGCCTAATAAAGCCCTAGGCCCGGATGACTTTAATGCCCTTTTCTTTCAAAAAGCTTGGCCTATAATTGGTGATCAAATTATTCTCGCAGTCCAGGAATTCTTCAACTCCAACTAGTTACTTCAAGAGATCAACACCACTATAATTACCCTTGTGCCTAAAATCCCTAACCCCTCTTCCATGGGGGATTTTCGGCCTATTTCTTGTTGCAACACCCTTTATAAAATCATCTCTAAGATTATGGCTAATAGAATCAAAGGTGTTCTGCCTACCATCATTAGTGATACACAATCTGCCTTTGTGGTAGGTTGTCGTATTGGAGATAATATTCTTTTTGTCCAAGAGCTTTTTCGTGGTTACCATTTGAATTATGGAACTCCTAGGTGTGCGATCAAGGTGGATATTCGCAAAGCCTATGATACTTTGGATTGGAAGTTTTTGCTTGGTGTTTTGTTGGCTTTTAACTTTCATCCAGGGTTTGTTCAATGGATCTGATGTTGTATCTCTAGCGCTTATTTCTCTGTGGCAGTTAATGGTGAGCTGGTTGGTTTTTTTCCTAGGAAGCGTGGTCATAGACAAGGGGATACTCTGTCTCCTTACCTTTTTGTTATTGCCATGAAGGTCTTTTCCTTAATTATGCATGCTAAAGTGGTTGCTTCCCCTGACTTTCGGTTCCATTGGAGATGTGATAAGATTAGACTTACTCATATGGCTTTTGTTGATGATTTGCTTGTTTTTTTGCCATGGAGACTTACTCTTTGCAAGGGTTTTAAAAGAGGCTTTGGATTACTTTTCTCACCTTTTTGGTTTAACTCCAAATGCTTCGAAGAGTAATATTTTTCTTTCTGGAGTCAAAACTAGAGTCATGACTAGAATTGTGAGCTGCTTTGGGTTTCAAGAGGGGTGTCTTGCCTTTAAGTATCTTGGGGTGCCTTTGATCAATTCTAAGTTGACCTATGCAGATTGTGTACCTTTACTTGAGAAAGTTGATAATCGTATTCGCAGCTAGGAGCATAAATCATTGTCTTTTGCTGGTTGTTTACAATTGGTAATTTCAATCTTAGGTGGCCTCCAGATTTATTGGGCTTCTCACCTTTTCTTGCCCAAAAAGATTACGAAAGACATTGAGCAGTTTTCTCGCCGATTTCTTTGCTCCGGCAAGGTATCGGGGAATTATTTTGCTAAAGTGTCTTGGAGGGAGGTTTGTTGCCCCAAAGATGAAGAAGGATTGGGGATTAAAGGTTTGCACTCTTGGAATTTAGCTCTTATGGCTTGCCATATTTGGTTTTTGTTTAGTCATGGAGGTGGTAATGTGTGGTCTAAATGGGTCAAAGCATATTTCCTTCAAGATAAGTGTTTTGGAGCCTAAAAGTGCTGTCTACTTGCTCATGGAATTGGAGGAAACTTTTAAAGCTTCAGGATCTTATTAAGCCTCTTATTCATATTTTAATGGGAGATGGGTCGTCTACTTTTATGTGGTATGATCTACTTGCTCATGGTTCTCTTTTGGGGCTACGAGGTAGTGTTGGCCTCTGGTCTTCATATAAATTCTAAGCTATCTTCTGTGATTAGGGCCTCTGAGTGGTGTTGGCTGTTTACTACCAACCAAACTTTTTGTAACATTCAATTAGATTCCTACAACGTTATGTCCTCTTCTCAGAATTTGGATTCTTTCTTTTGGGCTCCTAGGAAAGACGATATTTTCACTTCATCTTCTATGTGGAATTGCATCCGTCCTGTGGCACCAAAAATTTCTTGGAACCACCTTGTGTGGCACAGTGTGTCTATTCCACGTGCAAGTTTTGTGTTGTGGTTAGCCATAAAGAATAAACTTACTATGCTTGATTGCATTGGTCAATATGCTCCTTGTGCCAATCTTAATTGTGTGTTGTGTGACTCTGAGTTAGAATCTCACTCTCACCTTTTCTTTGAGTGCCCTTATAGTGAAGGTCTTTGGCGGCATGTGTTGAGGTGTGGGGCTCCCTGGCTCCACCCTCCATGGCCTTTTTTTGTGGAGTGTGTAGTGGCCCAATGCCGGGGGAAATCCCTTTCCATGGTGGTTAGAAAACTTTCGCTGGCAGTCACTGTTTACTGCATATGGTGTGAGCAGAATAACTGCATTTTCAACAATTGCAGGAAACCTCCTACTATAGTTCTTCAATTGATCACCAATATGATTCAGTGTTGATTGTGTACTTCGAAAGTTAAGCCTTCCACCATTAACATAGGGATCTTCCATAATTGAAATGTTGTTGCTCCTTGGTCTCTAAGTTGTCTCTTGCCGTCCCTGCGTGGATTAGGCTATCCCTCTTGTTTGCTGGTGCTTTGCCCAGCTTTCTGTTGTTGTTCTCTTTGGGCTTTTGCCCTTTTAATATATTATTTATTTAACAAAAAAAAAAAAAGGTCCATTGAAGACTGGAGGAGAGAAGGGTTTCTGCTAAAACACTGAAATAGCTTTAGAATGCATGCGTTGGGAGATCCAATAAAAAGGGTATGTAGTATGTATGAATAAAAAAAATATAGCCTTAAGCTAGGCAGCTAAATAGCAGGCAAATGAATGTTGCTGTATGGCTTTTAATTATTTTGGCATTTGAGCCCTTTGACTCTTTTGATACATCTCTTTGAAAATTTCAAACTCATTCAAAGAAATTTTGTGTTGATTTATTTTATAACTGGACGATATTTTAATCAAACTACACTATTCGAAGAGAAAAGTAAATACAAAACTCGGGTGTAAAGTAATTAACAAATTACTGTATATTCACCTGATGTAACTCGCATTAGAAAAATTCTGTTTTGTTTCAACTTCGTCATAATTAGTTAAATGATGTCCAATGAATTGAATTCTACTGAAGGCATTTAATAGGGTTTGGTGAGGAGGTATTCTGTTCAAAGCTACAGATGTTGATATATCAAACTAGTCTTTTTATATCCTGAGATACCCTTAGTAAATGCATGTCCTATTAACCCTTCTTTCATAATTAGCATAGCTATTTGTCTTTGTTTGTGTTTTTGCTCTCCGAAATATCAAAACCCCCCTATTCCTTTTGCCTCTCGATCGCCCCCTCTCAAAGGTCGCTTTTATGTGTTTTGTCGGATTTTCCTTCATATTAATTTGTCCTCTTTGTTCTCTTCTGGGTCTATCTGGATTTTTCTGTATAATGAGACTGGCTGAGACTGCAATTTTGTTGCTCTTGGTTTTGGCTTGTATCAGATCAAATAATGCGGTTTCGAAGTCCAGCTTCTTCCTAACTCCCTTTGATCATGATCATCACAATGTTGGAAAGAGGATGAAGGGCTCATCAGCGAATGGAAGGGTGTTGGGAGGGGCGGCAGCTAATTTCAGAGAGTTCTGCAAGTCCAAGGGGCACCAGTTTTATGATTTTTTCTTTCATTCTAAGAACACAACCTCAGATAGCAAAAGGGTTGTTCCTACTGGTCCTAATCCCTTACATAACAGGTAAAATACACTATTACCTAGGGATGAAGAACTAAGCTTGCTGCTAGCTAGCCTTGATGTAATAGTAGTAATACCTTCATATTTGGAGTGTGGCATATTGCTTCTCCTCTATGTTGATGCATCTCTTTTTTATCTTTTCAAATTACAGAGAGGAATTAGACGAGATTAGATCTTTAGCTTGACGCTTCTCTCTAATTTGTAATTTTATCTTTGTTTTTCATGTAATGTTAGTGATATGAGTTTTGGTCTTTCTAGTTGGCTGCCAATTTTCTGTGAAATGTCTACTTAACTAGTTGTACTGTATCGACTGAATTTTCAAGTAACCTTTTCTTTTATCATCAATTTACCAATGAAATTACTACGCTAAATTAAACTGAAGGGTGGAGAGCTTAATCCGGGAAATAGCCAATCCACCACTTGCAATTTCAAAATTTTGAAGTAACTTCTAAAATACATTTTTTTTTCATAAATTGAGAAAATAGGTAGTACAAGTATTCATGATGGGCGTTGGGGCGGCTCAAGAAATTTGTCATGTAAAGAAAGAAATATACTAAAAGCTTTAATACCATACATTTGTGCAAGAAAAATAATAAGAAAAAGAAATCTTGTTTATTGTCTCCTCAAAATGGTATTAAAGCAATATTAAAAAAGAAATACATTTGTTTTCAACAAAAATACAACTAACTTTGCTTAAATATTTTGCCATTCAACCTACTGTCTATTTGATGAAAATGAACTTGCCTCACTAATAAAATCCTTAACCCTCAAAGGAAGCCGTATACGTTAAATGGGTTACAACTAATTGTATTAGACCTAATACGAGCTTAAATGGACAAAATATATTACCCTAGTCAAGGAACATTATACGGCCAAATCCACAAATCTACACCACAGCCCATGTATGGCCCACACCCACACCATAGCCCATATTTATATTTAAAAAATGGCAATTCTAAAATTAAAAACAAAATCATCACCCCCCTCCCCCCCCCCCAAACTGCGGCTACAATGCCACCCTCCCCAAGTTTGGAATAGAGTAATAATTATGAATTATATTCAAGTTAACATTATTTCTCTCGTTTCTTTATCTAATGTTGAGAATGAATTCCACATTGATAAGAGAAGAGACCTTGCATGTGTTTATAAGTAATTAGGGTACTTCCCATACTCCCATTTAGCCTTGTGGTGAAACCTCAAATTTTCTCCATGTTGAACTCTCACCACAGTTAATTGGCACCATGTTTATGTGCATTTCAAGTAAAAACCAAAAGATAAAAAGGCAAAATACGAACCTAAGTTTTTGGAATACTGTATCTGTAAGTTTGCAAATGGACCTCCTAAGTAAAAAGAATTGGAAATACATTGCTCAACTCGACGGCTAGAGTATATCTGACGGTCGAAGAGATCCCACAGCACAATGTATATTGAAACATCGTAGAATTTTCGCTTACTATACCATCTGCATTTTTTTGGCTGCCCTTTGGTCCATACCTTCTGAGGGAAAGAGGAGGATATGCAAAAGTTGGTGCATGGGGGTCCTAAAACTAAAAGAGATTGGAGGAAAGTTGCTTAGTGATGTGGTTCTACTCTTGTTGAAAAAACAGAAGATCTTCTGTTTCGATCCATTGTACAAACAAATATTCCTCAAATGGAAAACGACCTTAATTAAATCTGTGCGCGAAAACAAAACTTTACCATACTCCGACCAAAAAAAACTTTACTATACTCAAATGCACCAGATGAATAAAAAGTTTGTATAATAAAAATTTGAACAATTGAAGATCCAACCGTCGAGATTTTTAATATATATTATATAAATACCGATTCATACTAGAAACTCTCGACAAACTTTCTCTGTATCAGCTGCTGCTCGAGCATGCCATTAAATTCGAAGCTACTTTTTTCTTCCAATATGTACAGATCTTTGAAGCCCCTCCTATATTTGTCTTATTCATTTGTCATTTCTCGTTTTGAGTTGTGATTGTGGTAATTATTATTATTTCTCTCTCTCCCGCAACACTTCCCCCCTCTCTCACTGCCTTGTGAATGTGAGGCTATGCATTTTTAATTTTTTAGGTTGTGTGTGTCTGTAAAACAAGGCACAGCAGAGTGAGAGGGGGACAGCAATGGGGTGGGGTAATGGGGGGTGTGCATGGTGCAGTGGGATAAAAGTCAAGGCTGGGTTTAAGAGAGAGAGAGAGAGAGAGAGAGAGAGAGAGAGAGAGAGAGAGACAAGGATGTTGGGGTTCATGTATGAGAGTTGAACACCTATTATTAAACTAATCAAGTTAAAGAAAGAGAACATGATTTGGTTATGATTGTGTTCTTGTGGTCAATGTTCTCGAAATTAGAAAAACTTAATAAATCCTAGACATATGCGTAATCGCATTAGTTATAACATGTGTTTTTTATATCCCCTCTTGAAATTCAATTATTCTGTTTGAATTCATATTATTTTGAAACTTTGTAGTTGTAATGTATTCATCCAATAAAAGGTGTATAATTGAGCTGGGAGAGATGAAGTAATGTTAATAAAAGGCGTTTCGAAGCTATTTAGTTGAGTGGTCGTATATATGATCTCTAGAACAATATCAATTGTATCCAATCCACGTTTGGCATGCAAATGATCATTTTATTTAATAACGCTCAAGCTCTACTTTAAGTGAATGTATTATAGAGCAACAACAAAGAGATGAAAATAAAGATGAATGCGTGCTTGAAATTGTATTTCACCTCACTAGTATGGATATATTAATTAGTATATCTTAAAACAATTAAATTTTTTTATTAAATACTGAAAATACTCCGAAATATCATAGAACATTCCGAGCGAGTGCATATGAAAAAAGGGACACCTGGCCAGATTGTTGGTTGAATTAGAAATTGTACCCGCGCGTTGCTAAGGGATGAAAAACTGTATGAAAAATTATGCAACTTTATTCTCTCCATAAAACAAATACAACAGTAGTAAATTTTTTATAATTAGATAATAGAATACAAAAATATCAATGTGGCAAAGTAAATGTAAGTGGTGAGAGAAGCTATCCTAATTATAACTTCATTTTTATTCAGCACAGGCTTGAACAAAGAAGCAATAATTTCTACTTTGGTGATTGAGCATGAACTTTAGCTCGGTAATTAGAAACTGAGGGCCATTTCCTCGAACTGGCTACCTACAAAATCTCCAACTTAAAAAAAACATACGACATGATACAACAACAAACTTTCTAGATGACACCGAATAAATGTTGCTATTCCAGACGCTATATACTGTAATATTACAGAATAGAATATGATTTAAAAAAAGAGTTACCGCTAACACATTATCGGTCTTCCTTTCGAGTATTCCTTCCCAAAGTTCCCACACTATGTTCTCAAGCTGCTGCTCTTTCCAATTTCTATAACATCTTTAAAATTCATTTTAAAAAATAGATACATAAATAAAACGCTTAAAAGCAGGTAAATAAACATTTTAATGAAGAGGAAATGCAGAAATAGAACCAACTAAGCCACAGTCCAACTTTCACAATTTAATATTAGATTTCCTGAGGTTTGCAGAGACTAAATTTGAAATAATTTACCAAATTAATAAGCCCTCAGTTGGACTATGGTGGTAATCATAGCATAAATTACCACCACGTTAAACCGAACATTTGTAAACAAAATATGCAATGCGAATAAACTCACAGAAAACCTACCAAAACAGCAAGATGTCATTTAATTGTGAAATAAAACTATAAGGGAAGTATAATTGATACTCTAAAAATCTCATTCTACACTCCTCACAAGTGCATTTTTCTTTCCAAATATAGAAAGTTTGGAATGTAGAATGAGATTTTTCCAGTGCCAATAACAATTCCTAACTATAATACTATAAAAATAACTTATTGAAGACCCATATCTATTTATTGCACCCAAAATGATTAGAAAGAAAATTTATGTGCGAAAATCACTAACCTAAAAAATCCCCTTACATTACTGGAATTAATTGATGTGAAAAAGAATTAATTGATCTGGATAAAAAAATAAAAAATTTAAAAAAAAAATTAAAAAAAAACTAAAAATTGAGAATTGGGTTTGAGGATTTACCAATAAATCATTGGAGTAGTGACAAACTCCTATGCTTCTAATTAAAGTTTACTTTTCTATTGAAGTCGTGTTAAGTTTAAATAAATGTCAAAATGGAAGATTGCTTTTTCGATGTTGTGCCTTGCTTTCCATTCGGATACTTCTCTTTCTCCTCCTTGGAGACTCTGATTCGAGTACGTACAAACCCGCAGCCTCAATGTCTAAAAGAATTTCCATATCCGTTACTTATAAAATAATTTTCAAAGTAAAAAAAAAATCTTTTGTATGCCTATTACCTTTGCTGTACCCAACGTAGATTGAAGATTGACAGGCACCCAATGCCTTCTCAATTAAAAACACGCAAAGCTTCTCATTCTCAGCAGGATCATGCACCTGTGGCACTTTTTGTTCAGTGACCAAAGTACCATACAAAACTTGATCTAAGGCAAGCGTAGCAAAAAATTGATCATAATTTTCGAAACAACATAAACACTAACACTATTTTGTTGATAAAAATTTGTATATAACACCTCAAGAATATTAAGATTATGTGGTTTTTTTCAAGAATCAGAAAAACCTAAAAATATCCCAAACGATGCCAAATTTTGGAACTACTTTAAACCAACCTGCCATGAAATTATAGCCGCTTGAGAAATCTTCTTCAAATCAGAACGGAAGAGGCAGCACATGCAGTCTATTTCCGCTGTGCCTTTAATGTTGCTTCAGCTTTCTCCCTTGCTTCTTTACATGTTTCCATCCCTGAACTGCACTTGTCTGCTTCCTTTTGATACTGGGATGCAATCTTCTTAGCCTCCAGCAGAGCCATATGAGCTCGTTGCTGATTTTCCAAAGCTTCAACTCCTCAGTCAAAAGATCCACAAAGTTCTTTAAACCAAAGAAGAATTCCAGAGATCCACCCGAGAGAAGCAGAAGAAGAGTGCCACCCGTCCCATTCCTTTCTACGATGGCGGACACGAGTACAAAAGGGTAAATCCGCGATTTTACTGTACAATACACAAAAAAAGTTGAGAATTGTTAGCAAATGAAGGGTAATTACGTCAAAACACTATTAATGAACAGTGCCCTCTGTTGGGTTTTAATATATGTATAATGTCAGACACTAGCTAGGGTTAAAAGAAATGACAAAAAGGTGACCTTCCAATTACCAATTTGTGTTTGAGAATAAGAAAAAGCTGCAACTAGTTAGGGTTTTGCTTTATCTCAATTATACGTTT